AGGAGGGTTCCTTGCTTACCTGATTCTGCAGATCCAGCGACGAAGAGGACGTAGACGAGGATTCTGGAGGCAGCATTGGCAGCCAACGGTTTCGTCGTGAGTTGTTGGAGGGAGTTCCACAAGAGAGCAACGACAAGAAGGAGGAAATGAGAGCAACGGCGAGAAGAAGGAAATGAGCTAAGTGTTTTTCCCTAGCCCTCAAAATTTTAACATGGAGGGTAATCACGTAATTTCACAACCTGCATTTTTATCACTTCCCAAATGGTCGTTGTTTGCATTTGTTGCTGTTATTGGCTTTTTTCTGATGCTACAAAATGCAACTTCTTACTTTCTTCTCAAATGGCCACTTAATTTAACAATTGGAAAATTCTACGTGTTCCATAGAAAAAGTCTTTCTTTTCTAATGTTGCTGAAATTTTTTAAAAATCATTTAAAATTACCAGCTACGTGTCATGACCTAATTAATAAACATATAATATCGAATAATTTATTTTTATTCTTTTTTAAAATGGATCACGACTCTTAACAAATCCAAAGTTTCAATGCTTGTTTATTTCCTATCGACTTGTCTAATTTTAATTTTTAAAAACATTTCAATTTTTAAAAAAATGCTCACAAAAGCATATTTGTATGTGGTTTATATAAAACATTTTCGTTTAAATATTTTTATGCTAAACTTATTTTCTTTTTGGGCCATGCTAAACCTCTGTTTTATGTTCTTACTTGTACCATGGGCCTCGAGAGTGGGCTAGTCTGCCTGTACAAGTATATGAAAAAGTAGTGGTGAGTATGGTCTGGATTGGGATAAAATCTGGATCAATCCGTTATCTACGGTTCTTGAAAAATTAGAACCAACCCAATTCGTTTAAATCGTGGAACCAATCCGAACCAACCCATTTAAATACGGATTGAATCGGTTTAGGACCACGGATTTACATAATTAAATAACAAAAAAATATATATAACACTTTAATTTCATAAAAATATAATCATAACACCATATTAGTTTCACAATAAAAATATGTCTTTTCATAATAACGACATACTATTCTAGAATTTAAATAACTATAAAAAAACTGGTTCCACCATAAGTATTTAGACCATTACAAATTAACATTAAAAACTAGCAAACAAAAATAATAAAAGAATATACTATGTGAGTTTAGGTTTGGATTTAAGTTTTATATAAAATAAGAGAAGATACTATGTAAGAGGGTGTATAATAAAAATATAGACTATTTGTATACGGTCCGAATCGGTTCCAATCCGGAACCGTAGGATTCAATCTAGAACCAATCCGTGAACTACGAATTTTTAATTTTTCAATTCAGAACCAAACTACAGATTCAAAAAACCAATTCAAATCTACTGAATTAGATTAGACTGAATCCAATTACGAATTTTACAAATTTCTTGCTTAACCCTATGAAAAAGTGGAAACCTGGGCCCATTCTACTCGCTTAGTCAACTTCATATGACCCATTAAACATAATAATAGACTTTACATTCAAACTTGGAAATCAGAACATTCAAACTTGGAACTTGGAAATCAGAACATTCAAACTTGGAAATCAGAACTAATCGTTTGGTAGAGTTGTGGAAAAGTGATTATAACTTATAACTGTAAATATAAACTGATTTTTGACTTATAAATTAAGCTTTTCCTCCCCTAATCAAAGAATAAGTTGATTTTTGACTTACAAAAAGTTATAAGCTGTATTGTTAAGCTAAACCAAACACATCAAAATAGCTTAAATTAAGCTAAAAGCTGAAATAAGCTGGAAATAAGCCCTACCAAATAGGGCCAAATGAGAATATCACCAGGAAAATGATGTAAAAACATAAATGCCATATAGAATTTGTTAGAACGGGATTTTTAAAATAGAAGGCTTCTGATGAATTTTTTATTTTGAAATGAAAGGATTTAAAAATGCCACATCATTTTAAATAAACTAATTGTATGAATTTTAGTTTTATATAGCACTACTCGTATCATTTTTTATTTTTTCTATTTTTTTTTTTTTTTTTTGAGTTCACTACAACTTATAATTAATCAAAATATGAATATTGTTTAAGCATCTTAGCCACATTATTTTTGACATGCCTAATTAATCAAAACATGTATATTGTCTAAGCATCTTAACCTCACGTGATCATTGCAAGTGCTTTTTTGACATGCCTAACCTATTTATTATTGATCGGGTTATTTTGGCTTGTTTATTGATAGGACTAGTTTTGATTGGACTATTTTAAATCCATACTCGTTTGCCACTGCTAGATACTACTGTTTTATATTTATGATAACTGAGTTAATCAAGTTAATTAAAACTCTTAACACTTTACTGGAAAATTAGTAGTATGACTTATTTATTAATTTGTCTTCTCTCCCACTTTATGAGTTATATTCCAAGTCCAATATTTAAATTTCAAATAATGCTATTTTATATATTATGCTTTTATATCTCATTTCAAAAATTGTTTCATTATAATTTTTTTTTTAAATTTCGTCATAATATATATACACGTGTGTGTACATTTAAAGTAACGGAAAAACGAGTAAAACATATTATTAAAAGACTCTTACAACAAGGATGATTTTTCATAAGAAAATTTGTTTATGAAAACTTTTTTTTGTTGGGTTTTTGCTCTTCATAAAGTAAACTTAATTTCAAAGAAAGAAAGAAAATAAATAAATAAAAGTGCAAATACCAAATTTTGGCTTGCAAAGTGCCTAGAAAGTGCCTACTAGTGGTGAAAATAAACATTATCTCTTGCATACTTATTAAAACTAAAGGTAGGGTGGTGCTTCAAACTTTTCAAAATGGGTCAATTTGAGAGAGAGAGAGAGAGAGAGAGAGAGAGAGAGATTAAGGGTAGGTTACCTCCCAAAGCAGGATCCAAGGAGAGTAGTGCTTATGTCTCAAGGATCATGTTGCACTAAAGTCCATTTATTCCTCCCATGCAAATCCCGATCAGATCCAATCCAATCTAGGAGATATAGAAACCAAGATCTAATGGTTGAGAGAGATTTTAAAAAATCCATCAGAGGTAGTCAACCAAATTTATGAGATACCCCATGTGAGACTTCCCACTAAGGTCCCAACATCCTCATATTGATGGTTCTTTTCAATTGGGAAGGGGGTACCCCCTTGTCCTATGAATTTAGGGCGTAGAACCTTTTAAGAGTGCCATTTGCTACGCAAAATAAACAATAAAAAAATATTCAAAATTTCAATTTATAGTATAGATTTAAATTAGGTATGGTATAGGCCATACTTAAAATAAACTTGACTCACATATTTTCAATTATGATTTTTTTTTTTTAATATTCTTATAAGTATGTATTATTGTTGTACATTTCATAACTCTATTGCATTAGAAGGTGACAAATTGAGAATTATGTACAACTTATTATTTAAAGAAGTTCAATCATAATGTAGGTATCATTTTAAAGGAGAAATTTGAATTATCTTGATGACCTAAGAAAAAAAGGAAAGTAAGACATGGAATTTGTGGCAAAAGTATGTATGCATCCTATTAGCAACTTCTGTTTGGGTACCTTGAAATGTTGTTATTCATTAAATTGCTTGAATTTTTTACTTACACTGACGTGGCATGAGATTAAATCTTAGTTGGTTGATATCTAAACAAATTAACAATTGATAGGCAATATTTAGCATTATTTAGGATAAATTTAAAATTAATATTTTAGAGATCTTAATAATTTCCTTATATAAATTACCCATAATGTAACATCTAATCACAGATAGTGAAAACTTCAAATATAGTATATTAATGGTCATTGATAATAAAACAACATATAATTGGACCAATCGTCAATCTTGCCATTTTGCATGACGAGAGAATTAGATTTTAATTGATTAATTTTTAAACAAATCAATAACTAATATATAAATTTATGAATAATGTTTTAAAAATATGAAGCATATCCATAATACAAAACAAAACAACAAAAACAAAATGAGTTGGTCTGCTCTGCTGAGTTGGATTTTGGATGTTCCTCTTTCCATGAGAAAATATATAAATAGGACACAATCTAATCTCTTGAGCTAAGATTTTCATTTCATTTTGTCTATTTGTGCTAGGTGGGATGTTATTCTTCGCAGTTAGCACTAGGATATACCAATCGATGTTCATGCTCATGGAAACCTTGTCTGATTGTTGCTTCTAGAAAAAAACATGAAAATAAAACTAACTAAACGTCAATAATAATGTTCAGCTAGCATCATGTGACATGTTGTAACATCAATAATAATTGATCTCCCAAAACTGTTGTGAATGAAGACCTTGTTTTTTTATAGTGATACTACATTAATCACTTTTTTATATTATTTTTATATTGTCTCTAGATTGTGAATACAGAGAGAAATGGAAAAAAATAAAATAAAATAAAAATAATTTATATTTGATTTATATTTTTCTCAATTTGACCATCTTAATGTACCACTTTGTGTGTCAATACATTACTGGTGTAATGAGCTTCACCACTTACATCTATTTACATTAAAAGTGGTCTAAAAATATGATTAGTATTACATTACTCCGTTTTTATGCATCAAGTAAGATTGTATCATAGGAAAATAAAAATTTTATTTGTGAGCACAATTCAAGAATATTTTAGCTCATAATTTATTTATTTATTGAGAATGCCAAACAGATAATCAGTGACCGAAATAAAAGAGATTGTGGGGTCATGACTTCATTAATTTTTTCAAAATTTAAATTGTGTTATAGTAGTTTAAATGATATATGTTTCAAAGTATATATAGTTCGTGGGTCTCCTTCCAATTATTAGAGAGAGAAATGTTTAAGACATAAAGGAAAAATTGGGAATATTTTCTCTTGAAAGCAATCTCTCTTCACTGTATTGTGGTCTTTGCAAATTTAACTTAATACATAAACATATTAATTCGTGTTAGCTTCTCTAAATTTGGTGTTTTTTTTTTTTTTTTTTTTTTTAATTTTATTTTGCTTCTCTTTGCCATTGGCGTTTTGGGGTATTGGCCTTGGGTGATTACTACAATTGGTGCCGGTGGATGTAAAGATTGGGCCTTTTGTACAGTCCAAAAGCTTTACATGTCGTTAGAGCATCATTATCATACTCTTCAAAACTGTCTGTTAGCTATTTTATACCCAAAAATCAAAAAAGGCATAAAATCGTTGCTCCATCAAACTCATTTTCTATCAAACCGAAATCCCTCGCTACAAATAACCAGCGACAAAAACTCGGCTATTGGACTGAAATTGGAAACTACAGAGCAACGGTACAATCTATCTCTCTCGTTCTCCTCTTTTTTTTCTTTTTTCTTTTTTATTGATCTCTTAACATTGATTCAACTAGATTGATGAACATTGATTCAACATTGATTCGGCACATGATCGATCATTGGACTGAAAATGATTGATGAACATATGAGGGCACATGATCAAAGTTAATATTGAATCAATGTTTCAATGATTTGATTGTTGGATCAAGAGTTTGAACTAGATTTTGAATGTTGAGTGAACATTTGAAGGGTTTGTACTCAATATTGAATGTACAGTTTCAATAGTTATGACTTTTTCTTAATTGCTTGCATGGTGCTTGTTGAATTACCACAATGAATATGTTGCTATGCAGGATTCAGTTTCAAACTTTCTGCAATATTGCTTTGAATTTAAAGGAGTTATGAATTTTCTTAATTGCTTGCATGGTGCTTGTTGAATTGCCGCAATGAATCTGCTGCTGTGTAGGATTGGAATTCAAACTTTATACATATTACTTTGGGTAGATTTTACACATCACTATAAAATGCTTTTGGATAGTTTATTGTAAAGTATTGTTTTTGAAAATAACAATGACCAAAGGTGGAGCATGTCTATGTTGGTCAATAGTTTTTGATATTAAACTCAATTACTTTTCCTATCAACTTTTATATGTCAAGGTCATTAAGTAGATACAGAGTACTTCATTAATTTTCAAACATTTATTCTTCAAAGGTATCTGCATATCTGAATTGTTTACAGTTTGGTCTTAAATGTGATAATGAGTTTTAAAATGTTATTGTCATAGGAGTAACCTTGATAAGGTAGATTGGGGCTTCTTCTTCTTCTTCTTCTTCTTCTTCTTGTTTTTTTTTTTTATTTTTTAAGTCTTATCTAGCTAATGATAGGCCACAATAACTTTAAAATTTCACCACTTCTTAGGTAGTGTTTGGAATGAAACAGATAGAATTATCATTTTATCAAAATGTCCATTCTCATGTTTGGTTGATTAAAAAAATAATGAGAATACATTAGAAATTGAATCATCATTCACCATTGCAATGGAATGATCATTTTATAGGATGGATTCTCAGACACAAACAGATGCATACTTCACCAATCTATTACAAGGGGAATCCAACCTTTTAGGTGAATTTATGATGAAATCTCCAAATCAAATGGGTCAATGTTCAAGCCAACATGGTGAAGTGGCCGGGCAAGAGTCTCCATTGTCACCCCAAATAGAATCCACCACAAAGAAATCACAACGTTGTGGCAACTTCACTACAGAAGAAGACAATCTCCTTGTATTGGCATGGCTCAATACAAGTTTGGATGCAGTACACGGAAATGAGCAAAAGCACAAGACATTGGAATAGAGTTTGGGAGTATTTCCACAAGTACAAGACTTTTAATTCTGAACGTAATTAGAATTCTTTAATGAATCGGTGGTCAACTATTCAACTTGGAACCAATAAGTTTTGTGGGTTCTTTGCTCAAATTGAATTAATGCATCAAAGTGGAGTAAATAAGCAAGACAAGGTATATATTGTGTACATATCTAAATTAGATGTAATTGTCATTTTGTTTAAAGATGCTAATTAGTGTTTATTCATTTAATTTTTCAGATTGGCAAGGCCAAACTTATGTATCAAGAATTCCAAAAAGCATAATTTCCATTTGAACATTGTTGGAATGTGTTGAGGTACCAACCAAAATGGTTAGAGGAATGTGAGAAGAAAAAACCGAAAAAAAAAAAATCAGCAACATCTTCTCCTTTTGCTCCAGAGGCGATAAATCTAGCAGAGGATGATGTCTCACATGATGCTTATGTAGACTTGGAGAGGCCACTAGGTAGGAAGGCTGAAAAAGAGCGGTTGAATAAACGAAAGAGTAAAGATTCGGCTGGTTTAAATTATGCAGGGCTATTAAATGGGATAATGGAAGAGAAAAAGAAAGCAAATGACAAGAAAATGGAAATCCTTGAGAAAGCGTGTCTTCAAGGGCAAGAGCAGAATCCTATTAACCAAGAGCTTGAGCAAGAGAGAATTCGAATTATGAAAGAGAAAATCCAAGAGCGATTTCGTATTAAACAAGAAAAGATTCGAGCAGAACAATTAAAAGAAGAGGAGAGAATTATAATGATGGATACAAGTGGTTTGTCTTCAATGTAACAAGAATATTATCTTCACCGCCAAATGGAAATTCTTGAAAGTCAAAGAAGTACTAAATAGTTAGTTTTTATTGGAATATAATTTTTATATGCAAACATTTCATGTTTTTGTTGAACAATGCCATGATTCAGTGCACTTTCTTTGTTAAGAATTGATTTACATTGCTATGAAAATGAATAAATGACTGCTTAGGGGCATCTATATTATGGATTATAAGTATCTTGGTGTACCCATGTTTAGAATGTGTATGTTTGTTGTCTAGATAAACAGTTAGTTTTTGTTGGAATATATTTCTATTTTGTTGGTCTGCTTTGCTCAGTTGTGGTGGCTCCTCTAGGTATTTGGTTTAGTATTATTTTAGGCAAGGGAGTTGAGTCCAGCCCTGTGATCTTCCTTCAATGTTTGGCGAGGCAAACCATTTGGTGAGGCTAGTACTTTGTTCTTGCTACAAAGTGAATGCTAGTTTGATGCTATATATTGAGTTGAGTGAATGCTGCTATTTATTAAGTTGAGTGAATGCTGCTGGAATGCTTGGTTAGGTAGTGGTCTGTTTTTTATTACAACCTTGTGAATTCTGTTTTCTATCCTTTTCAATTGCTTTCAAAGCCTCAATCCATGCCTGAGCTACTGCAACCTTTCTACCAGTAATTTTTCATTTTTTTGCTCAGCCCTACTCCTAATTAATCATGCAACGATGGAACATTTCAAAACTAATCAGATTTGTTACTAACCCCTGGTTAAAGGGAGTGGTAGCTAGGCCATCAAACATGTTCTGCTAAATAATTGCATGTCAACTCTTACCTTCAGAATCTTAAGTGAGATGAATCAGTCCAACAGTTTTGTTTGTGAGAGTGGGAGAAAATTTACAAATCTAATTTCAAAAATTTTTAGTATAATATATAAAAGTAGTTAGACTCTACGAAATAGGAATGACATCTTAGTCAAAGGTTTAAAACTAGGTAAAATTTGTCCTATATGAGTTGATTGCCCCTGAGGCTAATCAATCCATTGATGTGAACTAAGCTCTATTTTCTGTGAGTACAAGAATATAACAACCCAAACACGAATATGACCTTTTAAGAGCAAAGCAATAGTTCTTTATGAAGAACTTCACAAACATTTATAATGAACAATTAATTCAGGAGTACAGAATCACATTTTAGTTTCCTCTCCTTTTTGGCAGCCTCTGCTTCTGTTTTTAATTGTTCGTGTGAAGTATAGATTGGATGCGATTGTTTGAGCTTGTATTTCGGCTACAGATACAGCATCAAGTATACTTTTTGCCCTGAGGAGCTTCGAATTGAGAGTTCGAACATTAACATCTGCTTTTTTCTCAGCTTGCTTCATTTTATATGTTTCTTCATATAGCCGCTTGAGCGCAGCTTTAATAAAATCCATGGAGGCTGCAAATTGGGAAGCCTCTTCTCAAATCGTTGCCAATTCTTACTTGGTTGCCTCTAATTCTTCCATGACTAATCTTTCATTTCTTTGAAAACTTTTGCCCATTTCCTTAGCAATCTTTAGTTCATTCTCTAACATGTTTTCATTTCTTCCTCTTTTCTTTGAGCTTGAATGACTCCTAACTCTTTCACAGCCTCAATCCAAGCCAATTCTACCATCACTTGTTCTTCATTAACCTCCTCGATCTCTTTTTTAAGCGCTTCTCCAAAGCTTGAATATGACGTCAGTCTTGAATTCAACACTTCAATTTCCTTCTCAGCACGATTTTTCTCTTCCAAAACAGAAGCCATGTCGACCTTGAGTTTACTCAATTCTTGCTTTACATATTCCAATTCACTCAGCACTTCTTCATACTGATAATTCTTAATGTTCGCAACAGCCAATTCTCACATATGTGATTTTGCTTTGAAATTGAATTCTTCGATTCTTGAAGTCAAATCCCAGCAACCACAGCAACAAACAATTCAACAACAGCAACAGCAACTCAAGGCAGAATGATCCACCAACCACCACACCAGCAGCAGCATAATCAATGTAACAGAGCAAAAAAAACCCAATAAACAGAATACAACAGCAGCCCAAATCATGTTATGATAGTAGCAACCAACCAGACAGCAGCACCCGTAAGAACAGCATACAACACAGCAAAAAATCCAGCAGCACAGCACACATCAACAGCAAAATCAGCAAAAACCAGAGCAAAAACCCTAGACGAGCAGCACACAACATCAAAAAAAATTAGTGGTCTGGTCTGTTGGTCTATTTTGTTCTGTTTGATATGTTGGCTAATATTTTGGTTTGTCATGGACTCGGGTGTGATGTACAAACATCCAAGTGTATTTACAAACATTAAACCACATAGACAGCAGCATGATTACATAACTACAAACTTAGGATATTTATTAATGCTATATGTATTAGCTAAATGTTAGTAGAGAAATTTTTTTATATGTAAGTCCTGTAAAAATTCTAAAGTATCCTGAGAGAAAAATTATGTAGTTATTAATGCTTGGAAATTTTCAAATTACAATGAAGACTAATGAGTTTTCGTCATGTGACCATGAAATTTAAAATTACAAGTTGCTATGATTCACTATGTAGTTGCCACAAGTGCTTGACGAGGTCCGATTGTAGTTGAGAATGAGTTTCTCTATCTCTAATGCAATGATGGCATCGAATGAATTCCATTAGTTCAGTTGTATGCTCATGTGAAACAGATACATTGGGATTTTCTTCAATTTGTTCATAGTCGTAGTCTTCTGCTTCATTAACATCTCGCTCATCCTCAACAATCATGTTATGTAGTATTATGCATGCCTTCATAATGTTCTTTAGTGTTTTACGTTCCCAAGAACGTGCAGGTCCACGTACAATTGCAAATCGTGCTTGAAGAACTCCAAAAGCACGTTCTACATCTTTCCTTGCCGACTCTTGAGCTGCAGTAAAATGCTTTCTCTTATTTCCTTGCGGAGATGGAATTGTTTTAACAAATGTTGACCACTGTGGGTATATACCATCTGCTAGATAGTATCCCATTGTATAATCATTACCATTGATTAAGTAATTGACAGAAGGAATATGCCCTTCAGCAAGCTTGGTAAATATAGAAGATCATTCTAGCATGTTGATGTCATTATGAGACCCCGGTAACCCAAAAAATGCATGTCATATCCAAAAATCATATGATGCTACTGCTTCTAAAATAATTGTAGGTTCATGAATATGACCAGAATACATACCTTTCCACGCAGTTGGACAATTCTTCCATTTCCAATGCATACAATCAATGCTCCCCAACATCCCAGGGAATCCATGACTTTGGCCAATTGTTAGCAATCTAGCAATGTCATTTTTGTTTGGTGATCTCAAATACTCATCAGAAAAAATTGTAACCACCGCTTTAACAAATTTTTTTAAACTTTTCATTGCAGTTCTTTCTCCAATCCTTACATATCCATCCATAAAATCAACCACTACTCCATAAGCGAGCATTCTAAGTGCAACAGTCATCTTTTGGTAGGAAGACAAACCAAGCACTCCAGCACCATTTCTTTTTTGAACAAAATACGGTTCATGAGCTTTTAGTGTAGAATGAATACGGAGAAAAAGAGAACGATTCATTCGAAACCTTTTTCGAAATACATTGGGGGGATATATTGGTGATTCAGTAAAATAATCGAGAAAAAGCCTTTGGTGGCCTTGTAAAGTATTACGCCTAATGAACACACGACGTTGACGTGATCTTGATTCTTCCTCCATTTTGGCTACTATAACTATCTCTAACTCATCATCAGAGTCAGACTCATTGAGAATCATATTGTATACAGAATTGCGACGCATAGTGAGAAAATAAAGATTTAATGTTAAAGAAAAATGGATGAGGTGGATGAAAATTAAAGAGGAATGATCTTATTTATATTGAAAAAATATGACCGTTACAAAAATATCTATTTCAAAAATATAACCGTTGCAAAAATATTCATTTGAAAATATGACCATTCTAGAAGTTTCTATTTAAAAAATATGGTTGTTGCAAAAGTATCCATTTGAAAATATGACCGTTACAAAAGTTTCTATTTGAAAAATATGACCGTTAAGTGTCCATTTGAAAAATATAATTTTTTTGAAAAAATAAATAAATAATAAATAAGGAATATTTAAATTGAATGGAGAAAGAAATGGAGAGCTTGTTGGAGCATGACAAGAAAAATAAGGTTAGCTAAAATAGAAATGTAGATTTTTAGCTACAATTTGACTAAACATTTAGCTACTTTGATAAAGATGCTCTTACTGCTTGTGCTTGATCCAGCCTCGATAAATGGGCTTTATTTTTAGCCACAGTATATGGGCTTCATTTAACAATAGATCTGGTCAGGTTATTGGGCCTTCAAACAAGTCTACGAAGAGGCCCATTCCTTGGGACTGAGGCTCAGTCTTTTTCAATTTGTAATCCATTGTTTTGGGCTGATTTTCTTTGTTGGTTCTTTATGATGGTGTTGTGGATTTTCTCCATTGGTTTTTATTTTTTTTATTTTTTTATTTTTGATAATTTTTCAATATTTGAATGGGTGTAGATTTACCTCCCAAAAAAAAATTATATACACCGATTGGTATATTAATAAGTATATTAATAGATGATATGATATAATTTTAGAAATTTTGAATATTTATAATTTGTTTAATAAGTGAGATCAATAATAATATTATAATATATATTTGTAATATATTAATTGATACATGTAATATTAAAAAATAAAAATAAAAACAAAAATAAAAACAAAAAAAAACTTTACCCGACGTAATATTCGTGAATTTTAGTCTTCACTTTAATGATCTACATGAAACACAAAGACAGCTCATGAGTGACGTGTTGACTTGCATTTCCCATATGTTTGAAAATAGGTTCAACCAATTATTATTTTACTATTGTAAAAACCCATCCCAACCTCTACAAGATTATGCTGCCGACAAGTGAGTTGAAAATAGGAGCGAGCAGCAGCAGATATATTGATCTGTTTTAATTTATTGAATCAAATTGATTTGTCGTATTTTGAATGGATGCGTAATAATGAATGGACGGTTGTGGATTAATTTTTTTTAATTTGTTTAGTTTTGGACAGATGACGAATTTGAGATTCATTTGGCCGCAACTAAATTGTCAAAATGCAAGCACCCTTAGTAATTTGTAAGACTTTGTATTTTCAATTTGTTTAGATATTCTATTTATATTTTCAATTGAAAAGAGTTTAAATATTCTATTAAATATATTCTGTTGAAAAAGAGTTTTCAACCTGAATATATTTTTTGAATTGAAAAAAATAAATTTATTATTTATCTATATTTTTTTATTTTTAAATCTAACTCTAAAAATAATAAATAAAAAAGATGGTATATGCTGATTGGTTTTTGTTTTCAAAAACAGATATAGATGTAACAATACAGAAACATACAATCTATACTACTGCTCTGTTCATGGTTTTGGTTGTTTGAATTATTTTATATTTTTATAGCCATATATTGTAATACTTTATATGGATGAAACATGTATTGTAATATGTAGATAAGGCATGCAATGATTGTAATATTTTAAAATTTCAATTTTTTTTTTCTTTAGATGAGGCATGCAGTGATTGTAATATTAATATTTTTTAAGTCATTGACTGTAATATTTTTTTTTTATTTAGGAAATGTACAAGTTGAATTATGTTGAAAATTTATAAAACTTTAAACTGCCAAACCGATTTACATCTATCTGTCAATCCGTCAATTAATCCACATCCGCTGGATTGGCGGACAGATGCGGATTGATTTTCTCTAATCCATCAATCTGGCGGATGAATGGCGAATTAGAGGTTCCGTGACTGTAACCGACCCGCGCCCACCTCTAACTGAAACTAAAAAAATATAAATAAATTAATTAATTAAATTAAATAAGTCAATATAACAAATTATTATATTTAAATCATAATTATTTTTCTTTCTTTTTTGAAAAATAAAAAAAAAAGTTCAAAAGTCAAAAAAATTTTAAAAATAAATTCCAAACAAAACTAATTTAGATTGGTTAAATTAACCAAAAAAAAAAAAAAAAAAACAAAAAAGTCAATTCCTCCCAAACCAACCTTGTATAGCCTTAACCCTATCTTATCATCAGTATAATAGAGTTTGCGCCATTTAAGGAACCCCACGTAGCCAAGATTTCTTCCTCCAATGGGGAAGCTTAGGGAGGAGACTGCATTTCATGCCACCTAATGTTGGAGGAGAGAGTAATTTCCATCTGCCTAGAAAAATCTCACCAAGATTTTTAATAAAAATCAAAATGAAATTGGATGCGATGGAAAGGCATAATGAAGTGTTTGAAATTTTTAAAAATAATTTTAGAATTTTTACTATGTATTTTTTTTTTAATATTTTAACTAATTTTTTTAGTCTTTAAATTCACTTATGCTAAGTTTGTTGGGTGGAAAATATTTTCTGGAGAAAATATTTTTCTATGTTTTGTGGTGGTGGTGGTGGTGAAAGGAAGATGAAGGTGGAGGTAATGGCATGGTAGTGGGGCGGTAATGCCATGGTAGTGGGACGGAAATGGCAGTGATAGCAATGGTGATGGTGGTGTGGTAGTGAAGGTGAGGGTAGTAGTGGTAGTGTAGTGACATTGGTAAGACTATAATTCAAAAAACGTTTTCTGTCTTTTAAAAGTGAAAAATATTTTCTGCTCATACAAGTTTGTTTTCTGCTGGTCATAAAAATGTTTTCCGTTGACTTTCATTTTTCGTTGTACCAAATACCAAAAAATACGTAAAATATTTTTTTAAAATATTTTTTTTGTCCAAACAAATAGAGCATTAATCTAGATATATTTAAAAATTACAAAATTTGTAAAAAAAAATTAAAAAAAAATAATTAATAAAAATACATAAATTTATTACATTTTTTTTCTGTTTATTAAATTTTTTAAAACATTTTTTTATAAATATTTTATTTTTTAAGTATATGTTGATTAGATGCATTTAAAAAAATTAATTATTTGATTAAAATTTTAAAAACATTTACTTAAAAAAAATCAAAAAATATTTTTGAAAACTCAAAACCAAACACAAGTGCATTATTTTTGGCCTAGTGGTGTAGGTTTGGGACTTAGGAGTTTGCTCCTCTCTATGTCTTAAGTTCAAAACCTCTTAGGTGTTATCAATCCTTGTATTGGGCCAGTCCATACAGAGCTTTGCTCTGGCTTTAAATGGGCCCCTGCTAGTGGACGGTGGGATTGGTCCTCCAGAGATTAGTCGAGGTGCGCGAAAGCTGGCCCGGACACCCTGAGTTATCAAAAAAAAAAAAAGTACATTTTATTTTTATTTATGTATAAATGTGCTACTAAAATCCCAGAGGAAACTTGGAAGCACAGGATTAAGTAGAAACCCTTCTAACCATCTCCTCTAAGCTACTTCAAAGTCTTCAACTTAAAGCAACGTTGGATTTTAGATTAGCCTATTGCTAAGTCCAATTTGAACCTACCAACAACAAACATTAACCAGTCATAATTGAATAATTCTATTTTGAGGGCTTAACTAAGCATCCCTATTCCCCGAAGAAAAATAATTTATAAACATGATTTTCATACCCAAAAAAATAAATAAATAAATAAAGAAAATTTAAACAAACAAATTCAACCAGAATAACAGCGACATTTAAACACAAAAACTAATATAGAATCAAAAACAAAATAGAATATGAGTGTTTTAATTTAAGATGAGAATATTAAATATATATTTTGTATGCCTTCCTAATATAAATACATAGAAAAACGAAGCCCATTGTGCAAAATTACATTTGTTGAGACGTTGACATAGAAACTAATCTTCATCTTCATCTTCTTCATTTCATTGCTTCAAAGCCATGGCTTATGAAGCAGATTTCTGTAGAGACTATTTGTTGTTGAAGCCAAAACATGCAAGCTTACTCGATCTTGTTCGCATCTTATTTTCATCTGACATAGAAAATTTGAGAAGGTTTGTGGAGACCCCCAAACTAGCTCATCATCTGAGAGATTCTGAGCCCCGATGGCTTATTTTCATCTCCATCCTTGCCCAGAAACTATTGCTCTACTTCAAAAATCCCATGGCTCGGACAGGGAATGTGCTCGAGCTGTGGCTAAATCTCCTGTCAAGCAATGGAGGGTTTTGCATGCTTCTGTTAAATCTCCTCAAAGGTTAGCTTTTGCTTCTTTCTTTTTTTTTCATATTATTGAAACCACATATATGCCCGTAGGAATTAAAGTTTTCAGATGAATGAGTAGTGCATGATGAAAACAAGCATGCGTGCATACTTGTTTGTTTTAATCTAATTTCATGTGTATGGGTAGTACCCAAATGTGCATTAAACTATGAATCTTCTATGAGAAACAACATAATGTCTCTCCCATGGCTTCAAAGAAAATTGCCAAACATTAGAATTTTAGTCATCATAAAAAATGGAGAAAATTGTACAATAAATATATATTAGGTCATTGGCTAAGGCTCCAAATGGGGAGGGCTCACATTTTAAAATATTTTTCTATATATAAATATATATTTTTATATTTGTTTCATCTATATTTTTCTATATTTAAAATGTTTTTGTTTCATCTATATTACCTCTAAATAAAAATTGCTTTTTTTCTTTTCACAATTATATTATAACAATAAGTGAAGACAGTTTTCAATCAAAGAAGGGCCCATAATGGATGAGCATCACAAAACCCTGATTGGGATTGGGTTCTCTCGCTGTTAGGCCTCCATGGGCCGACCACGGAGGCCATATCGATAATTCAAACCATAAAATATGTAGAATTCATCGAATACTTCATTTCTACAAAAAATTCACGTTGATCGGATATCGATTGTCACTTAATCAGATTACATTTCTGTTAACAATTTTTTTAAAAAATTATATTTACCGTTGATAGCAATGTAATCTGATCAAGTGACAATCGATATCCGATCAACGTGATTTTTTATAAAAATAAAATATTAGATGAGTTCTATACATTAAATAGTCTAAATTATTGATACTAGTTTCGTGGTGAACCCATAGAGACCCGACAATTCTCTTTAGTCCGATTTGAACCGGAAAAAGCCTCTCCCTTTTCAATACAATACTAAATATTGCTCTCTTCCCAGTCAAACTGTGTCTTTTTGAAAGATATGTTAAAAAAAAATAAAAAAAAAAACTTGATCATAATAACAGTATAGTTAATAATCTTGCATCCCAAAAAAAAAATTAAAAAGACGTAAAACATGTATAAATATTTAGTGAAAATAATATTTTAAAATCAAAAGACCTCACATTAAAAATTCTACTTAGAAGAGGGTTGGGCTGCCCATAGTTAGAGCTAGAGTTAAAAATAAATTTTTAAACCTCACCATCTCTCCAATAATGAAAATATTATATACGTTAAACAAAAATAAATAAGGTGATTATGGGTATATCTCTTATGCTAAATATCTACAGAAATTGTGTTGTTTTACGCATGTAAGTAGAAAACAAACTTGTCCAAATAAACACTACAAAACCTTCTTTGAAGTTCCACAGTTCAAAATCTGAGACAGTTTGATGGTGGAGAAACTAAGAATACTTTTCTTTCTTCTACCTGACATATATATGTATTTGACTCATTTATAAAGGAGAGGCATTACAATTAGAACTTTTAAATGAGTTAATAATTAACAATTTTACAAACAAAAACATATGTACACACGAAAATAGTAGTGATTAATTTGTTTAGTTGATGGTAGCAGTTGATGATGATGATGAGGTTGTTGTGTTTTGATTATCGTGTAGGATCGGTGGTGAAGCCGCCAGGTAGGTCATCGGCAACGTTCACATCAGTGTTGGCAAATCTGGACGCACGTGTGGAATTAGACAAAAGCATCACTACTAATGAAAGCAGCAAGTATGGTGCATCACTGTCTATCATGGCTTCTAAATTGTCCTATGAGAATGAAGCCTTTGTCCAAACCATAGTCACCGATCACTGGAAGGTAATTATCACCAACTCCACCACAATATAATAAATATTAACGGGTGACACATGGAATACATGTACAACTCAAATAATTAACAATAAAAAAATTTAATATTATAATATGTATATTGTTTAAGTGATAAATATGTTCTTAATAAAATTTAAAATCTTGAATTCAAAATTTACTTACGCTATGTATAATAAGTTTTTGAGAAAAAAAAAGTTTCACTAAATCAATTTAGACCTTTACTTAATAATAGTATAAATAAATATATAAAATGCTATGAAATAGCATTGTATTCAGCATGATATCGTGTAAACCCCATCTACAACATTAACATGCCAAATATTTTTTTTTTAAAATTAAAAATAAAAAATTAAATCATATATAAATAAAAAAAAATTATACAGAATAATGTGACCGTCTCTTCAAAATGATGAACAATTGGCTTCTTTTTGGCAGATGGAATTCTTGGGGTTCTTCAACTTCTGGAATGGTAAGAAGTTTTGTCTTAAATTTGTAGTGTAATAAATTATGGAGTAATGTTAAGGATCATAAAAATAAATATCATAAAATACATCATAAAGATTTTTCATCTATTGATTAATGTGTAGTATTTTATTACATGTGTAATGCAAAGGTAGAGAATCTTTCATGATCATCTTCATGATATTTTTTTCATGATCCCTAGCATTATTCTAAATTATGTATGTGCCCAACATTTTAACAGCATCCTTTCATTAATTACATCTTCTCATGTGAGCTAGTTGCATAGGTAAGATGCTTATAATCTCTTGTCTTTGATTTATTCTATATTAATTGATGGAAGCAGCCGAGTATATATCAAGTGACAACTTGGATTAAAATCCAACAATACTTAATTTACTTTTTAAATATATTTGTCAACTAATTGAACTAGCTTTGCGGATCACATTTCGGTACTCTCAGTTAAGAGTTCACCGAAGAGATTATTGTAAAGCTAAAGCTCAAGTTTTTTTTTTTAACATTTATTTCCTTTTTATTATATGTACACAATGGGGCCACCTGAACGATGAAGTTGTTCATCTTAAATCATTTATGTAAAAAAATTAAATTGATCAAATATTAATATTTCAGATAATGGGATTACAAAATCATGCAAACAAATAATAATAATAATAATAATTAAGTATGGTTTTGAAAGCGAATCATCCATTTTTGTATATGTCTTTGTGATCCAATCATATGGCTATCAATATTTGATCAACTTAATTTTTTTCATGGATGATTTACTATGCAAGTGCTATAAAATGAACAATTCAAATTACCAAATTGCACTCACTACAAAAAAATTAAGGTTTTAGAAACTAAAATTTAGGAATAAAATTATTTTTTAGAGACCAAATAATTTTGTTACGAAAAGTATCTTATATTTTTAGTAACAAAAATTAGACATTAGTAATGAATTATTATATTTTTTGGACAAAATTTTTTGTCTCAAAAAATAAATTATTTTGAAACCAAATTATTTTGTTTTTAAAAGTCTATTTATTAGTGACATTTTCGAAATTTTATTTTTAAAAGCTTTATTTTTAACTTTTCAAAACGATCCTTTAGCGATTATTCTCATGACGATGAAAATTGATCCATAAATACCTTTTGTAACAAAATTTTCACTTTTAAAAGTTAAAATATTTAGTTTCTAAAATTTTTATATAGGTTTCGTTTGAGAAGTGGGTTGGTTTTTTGATTTTTTGATTTTTTTAGTTATTTTAGCCTGGGCTAAAAAGTTGGGTTTGGGAAGGACTTTTTGACTTTTTTGACTTTTTTTTGTGAGAGAAGAGTGTAATGATTATGAATTGAATATGATGTTTTGTTTATTGTGACTAAAATAATCTATTTTATTTTTTGTGACTATTTTAACCCAAAAAAAACTCGAAAAGCCTAACATAGGCATATTATAATGACTAAGAGTCACCAACGTAAAGTAAGTGGACCGTCAAATCCATGAGAGAAGCCCAACTCATTGAATTAATGTTGTCATTATTGAAGTTTTCTGACTTAGGCAATTGTTGAATTCATAATATATAAAAAATTTGTTTATATATTTTTAAATAATCTCTTACCGATTAAAATAAAAGGTAGGACATTAAGATTATGTTTTTTTGAAAATCATGTGCTGGACCGTCCCAATCTGGGGTTAAAGATTAAAATTTTTCAATATATAATTTAATAGATGATGCGACTTTCAAAATCTCATCTCAAAAGAAGAATCACTTAAATTATGTTTTGGATATCTTGCTAACTAACAACCAAAACATCAGTTATCAAAAAGATAAGTACATTATTTTTTTTAAAAAAAGAGCGAAATATTATACATTTCAAATATTTTATCAAATTTTTCACATGGGTAAGAGTCACACAAATCTACATGTGCGGGTCTCACACCCATGTGAAAGATTTAGTAAAATATTTGATAAAATATAGAATTTCTAACATAACTTTAAAAAAAATTATGAAAAGGCTAAATAAATAGCCCAAACCGACATAATATATAGACATGGTGTAGTAGATCACTTGCTCCACCAATTTTTTAGAAATCATATTTTTATCTATAATTTTCAAAATCTTAGTAAGAAAAATTCAAAATTTTGTATATAATTCCATTACGAATTCGCCTCTACTGAATAAAAAAATTTGATTCCCCTCTTAACTATGACCATACAACCACTTTTCAACAAGTGTTTGTCACATTTCAATTTTGACAATTTATTTGTCTTGAATCATACTACTCATTACTCCTAATTATGCTATCATTTTTTTTTTTTTAACATATTAAAATTGATATTTGTCAATAAAGAGTTATTGGGGGTACATATAGGTGAAAAATAACTTGTTACAATCCAATTTTATTTATTTATTTTGCAGATTATGAAGAGCAAATCTCAACACAAGCCATGATGTTCAATGACACAACCTCTAACCCTGACCTAATTATGGTCGCATTCAGAGGCACAGAGCCATTCGATGCGGATAAATGGCGGACAGATGTCGACTTCTCATGGTTTGACCTTCATGATGTGGGTAAGATACACGGTGGCTTTATGAAAGCTCTAGGCCTACAAAAGAAAACAGGCTGGCCCAAAGAGATAGATATGGGCCCGGGCCAACCATCATTTGCATACTACACAATTAGACAAAAGCTCAAAGACATATTAATGGACAAGAAATATGAGAAAACAAAGTTTATAGTGACCGGACATAGTTTGGGAGGGGCATTAGCAATTCTGTTTGTGGCAGTGCTAGTGTTACACGAGGAGGCATGGTTGTTGGAGAGGTTGGATGGGGTGTACACTTTTGGGCAGCCTAGGGTTGGGGATGAACAATTTGGAGAGTTCATGAAGGAGAAATTGAGGGTTTATGATGTGAAATATTTGAGGTATGTTTATTGCAATGATATGGTGCCTAGATTACCATATGACAACAACATTTTCTTGTATAAGCACTTTGGGCCTTGTCTGTACTTCACCAGCTGCTATAAAGGCAAGGTTAGTCATCTCTCTTTCTCTTTCTTTTTTTTTTTTTTCTTTTTTTTTTTTTTGGGTTGACTTTTTTTAAATTTTTTATTTTTACTTATTTTGTTCGTCTAATTGTATAGACCTGAAAATGTATATTCTTAAATAAGGTTTTTTTTAGAGTACACTTAAAAAAAAATTACCAAAAAAGTCAATTTCAAACCACCTACTATTTTGAACCTGGTCCACTAGTGTTTTTATTTACACATATCCAAACCAATAGTTAATGGGATATCCATACCCATAATTAATGGGACTTCAAAAAAAGATGGAATAGAAAAAGAAAATGACAAAAAAAAAAAAAAAAAAATGAGGGAAAAAGTGTATAAAGATCAACTCACATTGCAGACTAAAGTGATTCTTAACCAGCCAAGAAAACCTTGTCCCAAAAAAACTAAGACCAAATTAATTCTCTATCTTGAGAATTTTGATTGAGAGTCAGACTAACACATTACATTGGGTAATATCCAGGTAGTAGAGGAGGAACCAAACAAGAACTACTTCTCACTGTTGTGGGCAATACCCATGTTCTTGAATGCAGTGATGGAGATGATTAGGGGTTTCATCATCCCATACATAAACGGAACAGTCTATAAAGAAGGCTGGCTTTTGAGGTTGCTTAGGCTAATCGGGTTCGCGATTCCTGGATTTTCTGCTCATTTTCCTCAAGATTATGTCAATTACTCGATTGGGATATGTCCAAGAACTAGAACCTGAACTGGATTGTAAAGATGACTAGTTGCAACATCCTGATCTGTCCATTTGTATTGCATCAAATATCTAATAATTTCATTCTAAATTGTTTGTTCCAATAATCTACATACACACACACACATATATATATGTATGTATGTGTGTGTGTTACCAATTGGCACATTTTGTTTTGATAGTGTAATATTTTTATGTGGGTCTCTCGCATCATAGGAGAGATTTGGTAATAAATTTGGTAGATTATTTAGAAGTGTCTTATTATGTGTCATATTTTGGTTACATCATTCGACAAAAATATATTCAATTTATTTTAAACCTTGTAAATTAATAATTTAAAAAATTATAATTATAAAACTAATTTATCAGTGATAATAAATGGGCCCATGCCTACTTACTCAATCAACCTCACAATAACACATTGGATTTTCATCTTCTCTATTTCATAAATAGAACGAAAATCTCTATTTCATTTAATAAAATAATAATGTTAAAAGAATATTGTTGTCCAAATCTAAAAATTATACTCATTTTTCAAACTCAATAATGTGTTAAGAAAATGATTTGTGGGTAATTAAATATTTTCTAATTATCAACCAATCATCTTTTTGATATATCACTGAGTGTAAAAAAATAAATTTAAAAAATGGATTTATATATCATTTTCCAAGTTGAAAACGTAGTCAGACACATCTCTCTATTCCATTCATTTGACAAAGCAATAAGATCTCTATTTCGTTCAATAGTTGTCGTGTTTTGAAACAGGGTTGTGACAAAAGAATCCTGTGCCAGTTTTCTTGAAGAAAAAAAAAAAAAGTTGAGCATTCCCTATATTTTTTGTATTCTCAAGTAAGGTTTTGTATATTGCTGACTTGTCAAGTCATTGTTTTTTTGTTTTTTTTCACACTTCAAGATAGGAACACAATAATACATGTCCCACTATCGTAATTTTCTTAGCTAGTTCTTCCCCCAACTCCTCTGAACACCCACCATATAACCCACAACCAAACAAATTATTTGCATATTTGTATGTAGAAAATTAACTCATAAAGAGCAAATTTCATAAATAATTGAGTGTCACAACCACTTTTTTTTATACTATTTGTTGGCATCTTATATTGGTTTTTGAGCCAACAATGTTTAGGATGAATTTATAAGAGGATGCATGCCGGAAGTGTTTTATTTTATTTTATTTTATTTTTATCGAAGGTTAAAGTTGTATTTGGCTTATAAATTTAGAAAAAAATTTGAAAAAGAAAAAAAAATTATGTGAAATTAAATGAAATGTAAGTATATTTTAATAAATTATACATTCGATTAAATAACAACATAAACTTATACTAATCAATTGTACAATCAATTGTGATTATTCTCTCCTCTCATTTACAATGGCTATTAATTGATTGTACAATCAATCTTTCAACCCAATCGATTTTGCAATCATTTATGATTTTCTATTCACTCTTTCATGCCAATTAAATATACAATTGCTTGTGTTGTAACCACAAAAATTAAGACAGTGTTATTATAGCGATCCCGGTTATCCCTTTACTATTCTGTTATATTCCGGACTCGGCTCCGTGAAGTTGGTAGTTGTATCTATCTTGTTGTCATCCTTTAATTCCACTTGATTGAGTTTTAGGATGCATTGGGCAGAGTTGTTACAGGTTGGTTAGGCCTTGGTTTCAATTCTTTGTTGTCCAGTTTTTAGGAGGTCCGCTCGAGCGGGTCTTCTTGCACTCGAGCGGAGATTGCACACTCCCAGTTTTTCGTGTCCCTGCAAAACTTCTGCAGGTGTGTTTTTCACGCTCGAGCGGGTTTCTTTGCGCTCGAGCGGTGGCGCTCGAGCGCGTACTTTGGCGCTCGAGCGGGTAGTACCTTTGGGTGTAAGTTCTGGGAGCAGGAAATCTACGCTCGAGCGGACTGGTTTTCGCGCTCGAGCGGGTTTACTTTATTCTTGTGTCTTGGCGCTCGAGCGGGTCTTTTTGCGCTCGAGCGGACCTAGTTTTTGTTCTTGACGCTCGAGCATTGTGTTTTCCGCTCGAGCGGGAATGTCGTATATCAGTTGGCTGTAAGGCAGTTTTAAATCACTTTTTCTCATCCTTTCTCTCTCTTACTTTTCCGAAAGGGCCATTTGAGAGTCTCTCTCTCTAAAACCTTGCCTTCTCTCTAAATATTGACCTAGCTAGGGTGTTTTCCTCACCTTTAGCCTTTACAAAAAGGTTGTTGATCGTCGAGGGCTATCTTTTGATCCGAGAAACTCGTGGTTTAGAGCAACTTCGTTGTCACCATCTTCCTCATTAGGTCTCATCTTTTGAGGTAGGGATTCCTACTCACTTTTATGGATTTTAACCTAGATTTTGAGCCTATTGTTTAAATGGTTGATTTTGGGACTTAGGGTTTCAAAATGTGTTAAAGAGGGTTTTATGATTTTGGGCTCATAATATGTATTTTGGGTTTCAAAATGATGATATTGTTGTTGGTTGGTGATATTGGAACCTTTGGGTTAATATCGAGAGTTGGGGGTAAAAACCCTAATTTGCTGTTTAAAATTAATTGGTATAATTAATTTGGAAAAATTGTGAACTTATGGAATTGAGTTGGAAATAATGAAATTGGTTCATTAGATGGTTGAATAGTGGAGTTAGATTCATTAATCGCTCACTTTTGAAAACATCGATATTTTATCTGTTGGAGCTTTTATTATCTGTTTAGAAATAATTGCTTGGGCTACCGGTGGAGGGTAGTTTTGATTGTTGTAGACAATGCATGATGATTAGGCAAACTAAAACTAATCAATTGGATATGTCATAGAGTATGACAGTTGATAGAATACATTAACGTTATGTATTGATTGATTGTGTATATGACCATTGTGTATATACGTTGTGTTGTATATGACCTATGTGTATATACATTGTGTGTGGGGGAGGAGATGGGGGATGTACTCCACGGTTTAGGGGATGATAGGGGATGGACCTCTAAACCGGATGTTGTTTGGGAGGAGATAGGGGATGGACTCCACTGATACAGCCCATATGCTTGTCAGATAATGTGTTGATATAGCTCATATGCTTATCTTTGGAAATGTTGATACAGCTCATATACTTGTCATTGGAAGTGTTAATATAGCTAATATGCATATCTGTTGAAATGTGGGTACAGCTTGTATGCTTACCTGTTGAGATGTTGATACAACTTGTATGTTTATCTATTGTGATAATGGGAAATGTTTAATATGAGTCACTGTCTCATATAAGTGGTTGGCCAGGTTCTGAGCCATTGATGTAAATTGTGAAATTGATAAGAAATGGAAACTAAAATGAAACATGAACGTAGTGGTCATGAGATGGAAATGGGTTATGAATTGGTTTATGGAAACTGAACATTTATCAATTGCTAATGTCTTAGTCATTGCTCATACTGTGTTTAGCATATCTCTACTGGGCGTTGGCTCACCCTTTATGGGACATTATTTTCAGGTACAGATAGTATGCCACCTCCAAGGACGTAGCTTAGACGATAATGAGAGTTGAAGACTCTTTCTTTTGTTTATATTGATGTATTACATGTAAATTCCAGCCAAGTGCTTAATATGTATTGAGTTAGTACTCTTTTTTTTGTAACCAAGTGTTAACTTGGAAAGCTGTAAGCCCATAGGACATTTGCTTTTGTTGTTAACATGTAATACAGTTGTAAGAATTACTCTGATAAATAGAAATGGTTGATTTCTTTTGTATCAATGTATGTCTGAAATGTTGGGTATTATGTATTTTTTTTTTAGGGCGTTACAACTTGGTATCAGAGCATACCGGGTTCGAATACTTTGGGTACGTGGGAAGTGATTAGGATCACAATGGGTTTGTCTCGTTTGATAGAGACTTAGATGTAGTGTCATATGCTATATGCTTAATTAATAGCATGCTTATGTGACTATGTGAGCATGGAATGTAGTTTCTAAGATGTTGATTAGATCCTTGGGTTTCTGGGAGTCTTATTGGAAAAGCACTTGAACAATGCTGTTTCTAACCGGAACTCTAGTAACGCCTCGAGACTGTCATTATCTGGAAATGAAATTCGTAAGTGCTTATGTGTTTATGTGCTTACGTGGAGTGAATTGCAGTTGTCCATGCATTAGAACGCAAGTGTTATAGCTTCGGCACATTTGTGAATGTGCTAATAGTCTTGGTTACCTTTATTAGGATGTCAGGACGAGGGCGTGGTAGGCGTGGCAGGCATGGTAGGCAGGAGGTACCTCTACCAGATGACGTTCCGGCAGTGCAGGAGGGAGTTGGTCAGGCCAACGTGGCCGAGCCAACAGATCAGCAGGTTATGGGCACCTTGGCCCGAGAGATAGCAGGAGCTTTGGGGATTCTCAGAGCTGAGAATCAGGTTGCTGAGGCAGGGCCTTCTTTTTTGAAGAGGGAATTCTTCCGGTCTAATCCAGACGAGTTTGTTGGGGATCCAAAGGAGCCACTTAAGGCTGACGAGTGGTTGGAACAGATGGAGAAGATGTTCGAGATGCTGGACATCGAGGACGGGGCTTTGAAGGTGACCCTGGCATCCTTCCAGCTGAAGAGAGATGCGGGTCAATGGTGGAAGTACGAGAAAGGCCGTGTTAGTGGTGCATGGAAGGCGTTTGTGAATGCTTTCCAGGAGAAGTTTTTATCTTCAGCTGCGAGGGAGAAGCTGAGGGAGCAGTTTTGCCAGCTTAAACAGCAGGGCTTGTCAGTGGCCGAGTTTGAGGCTACTTTTACTAGTCTGTCCAGGTTTGCACCTGAACTGGTGGCGTCCGAGGAACACCGTTGCTTTGAGTTTGAGCGGAAGTTGAGGCGTGGGCTCAAGCTGAGGGTTGGAGGGTCGTTTATCCGGGAGTATAGACGTTTGGTGGATGCTGTTGCTCATATGGAGATTATGATGCAGGAGGAAGATGAGGGGCAGAGAGGCTCCAAGAGAAGCCATGATGGTTAGGGTGACGGCAGGAGACAGAGGGGTTCTAACCCTCAACAGTCTCAGGGTGGTGTGGCTAGATCGACCTTTCCAGTGCCGAGTACGGGCTCTGGGAGAAGTAGTCAGGGAGGCTTGACTTGTTTTGCGTGTGGCCAGCTGGGTCACAAGTCTTCGGTTTGCCCGCAGAAGGGAGGGGGTCAGCGAGCTGCTTCTTCTTCAGCTAGACCTCAGGGCCAGAGTCAGGGCAGGGGCCAGCCTTTGTCTTGCTATCAGTGTGGTC